TATGGAGCCTTCATCTAGTTTTGATGTACCCAGATAAGGGTGACTTATAGTGAGTCTCAGAATGACTCTGAATAAGTTAAGAAGCCTTTCTCCCATTTTAATATTTTTGTGGGGTTTGAGGAGGATTAATGTTAGTTCTTAAATGTTTAGTGGAATTCACCAGCGAAACCAAACAGTCTGGGCTTTTCCTTATTGATTGATTTTTTATTGTTAATTCAATCTCCTTGCCAGTTACAGGTCTATTCATATTATTTATTTATTTGTAATTTCTTCTTAATAAGTCATGTGCTTCTAGAAATTGTCCATTTTATCTGGGGTATCCAATATATTGATGTACAATAGTTCATAGTACACGTTTGTAATCCATTTTATTTCTGTGAAATAATCAATAATGTCCTATGTTTATTCCTGATTTTAGTTATTTGATCTTCTCTCTGTATTTCTTGTCCATCCAGTTAAACATTTGTCTTCTTTTTTTTAATCTTTTGAAGAACCACTCTGGGTTTTGTCCATTTTCAGTTGTTTTTCTAGTTCCATTTGATATATCTGTGAACTAATCTTTTCTCTTTCTTTCCCTCTGCCAGGTTTGGGTTAATTGGCCCCTACTTTTTCTACCATTAAATTAATGTGAATAGTTAAGAGTTAATTCATGAACTCTTCTCTTTTTAAATATATGCTCTTAACACTCTAAATGTCCCTCCAGCACTTTCACTGCGTCTCATACACTTCGTTATGTTGTTATTACATTTTCATTTGCTTTAGTATTTTCTCTGCTTTCCCTTGTGATTTCTGCTTTGAACTATGGATTCTGAAAGTGTTGTTTGACTTCGTTGTATTTGTGATCATTTCATTTCTCCTTCTTGTTACTGATTTCTAGTTTCATTTGCAACCTCGTTTCCCAGTGCACGGCTAGAATAGTCCTTCTTCCACGTTCAGTAAACTGTGCTGTCCTTCACCCTTGCGACAAAGCCACAGACATAGGCTTCTGTCATGGCAATGACTTCTCTAATAGTCAAGAAACATGGGTGTGTCGCACAGAACAATGGCTCCCCGAAAAGGTCTATGGGTAATACCCAGACCCTGTGAATATATTACTTTATATGACAAAAGAGATCTAGGAAAAATGATGAACTTAAGACTCTTGATCTTGAAAGATTATCCTAGACTAAGGGCCCAGTGAATGAATTTGTGCACCTTGAAAGGAGCAGT